GAAACTTGTACTAGAAAAAACTAAACATAATTATAGAGATACTATACAAGCCACAATGGGATGGAAATCTATTATCAATCAAATGTCCCATGAAAAGGCGCCATGGTATTTTCCAGAGTCATATCCAACGTAAACAGTATATCTCGTAAACAATATTTTGACATAATTTTTCTAAAGTTTATGTTCATATAAAACATATTTTTAGATCTTGGGAACTTAATCCTACAGAAGGACCTAGTAGAGTAAGAATCCGCCTTCAAAGGTGCCATTTAAACATATTAAAAAGATTCTTTAAACCTGAATATTCACATAAAGCTGGTTAGTATTGTATTTCCATTTGTTACTGAGTATTAAAATAATGTTAAAACTTAATTTTATTTTAAGAAAAAAATAATATCAAAGGACCTCTAGACTACTTAATATTAGATGATATGGAAGTTCCTGTTTCGTCTGCTGTTGTCGAGAGTTTATTGTCTCAAGAAAAAATATCATACATGTGCACTGCAAAATTAGTACACCCATGGCAAAAAGTTAAATGTGAAGTTTTAATCAGTGAAAATGCAATTTATATTGTTCCCACTGAAAAAATATCAAATGTAAAATGTTACAAAAATAATTAAACGTATAGATATTAATTTTTTTTTGTTTATATTAACAGTGTCTACAAAATGATTATTCACATGTCCTTAAATTTGATGAAGTCAAAGAAATACATAACCGTAGATATTCACTTAAAGAAAAAGCTGTAGAAATATTTCTTACTAATGGAAAAACGTTTTTAATTGCTTTTCATTCTCAAAAGGTACCTTAAATTCTTTTTGTTAATTTGGTCATTTTAAATTTGTATTTGTGCTCAGGAAAGAGATGAATTTGGAAGTTATTTATTGAATTTTCCATTGCCAAATCGTATTACCAATGAAATACTGAGTGAAACAGTTGATTTATGGAGGACTCGTCAAATCACCAACATGGAATATTTATCAATTCTGAATAAAATGGCTGCACGTTCTTATAATGATTTAATGCAATATCCTGTTATGCCATTTGTTTTAGCTAGTTATAATACTACAGAATTAGATTTGAATCAATTATCTACATATAGGTAAATATAAAATACTAAAAATAATCTTGATACTTGTAAATACTATAAGACTTATGACATTTGTCATAAATAATTTAAACTATACATAATATTATGTATTTTTTTTAACACTAGGGATTTGAGACGACCTATGGCAATTCAAAATAAAAAAAAAGAAGCTCATTATATTCAACATTACAATGTAATATTTTTTTATTATTCTTATCCATGGTTTAAGTTTATTTGAAATTGATTTCATTTCAGTATTTAAAAGAAGATATCCATCGCTTTGGAACTGATCCACATCACTATAGTTCTCATTATAGTAATTCTGGTACAATATTACATTTCTTGATCAGAGTCCCACCTTACACACAAATGTTTATTAAATATCAAGTAATACAGTGACAGTAATTTTCTGCATAAAATGTAATTAATCTTAAGATTTTTTTTGCTACAGGATAATAACTTTGATGTACCAGATCGATCATTTCATTCAATGGAAATTACCTGGCGATTGTCATCTGACGAATCAACTACTGACTTGAAAGAACTTATACCAGAGTTTTATTATTTACCTGAAATGTTTACAAACTTTGAGCAATTAAATTTTGGAGTTAAGCAATCTGGAGAAATTGTTGATTCTGTTAAATTACCATTGTGGGCTCAAAACAATCCAAGGTTATTCGTGCTTATTCAAAGGTAAATTAAATATTTATAATTTGATTTGATATTATTGTGATATTAATTGATGCTTATTTAAAGGCAACTTCTGGAATCTGAGATAGTTAGTGAAAATTTACCACATTGGATAGACTTAATATTTGGTTACAAACAAACTKGTAAAGCGGCAATTGATGCAATCAATGTATTTCATCCAGCTACTTATTATGGATCACATATAGAAGAGACAGAAGATCCAGTTGCGAGATCTGCTTTTAAAACTATGGTCAGCACTTATGGACAAACTCCAAGACAGTTATTTCGCTTTCCACACCCAATGACAGTTGATGATTACTCTCCCAAAAATGTGACAAAAAATACAAACTGTCGAAATGTTATCACAGGTAAAATGTTTCTGAGACTTTTCGAACATGTTAATTTTCAACTTTTTAATTCATATAACTTCTTTTGTAGGCTTAAAAAACTTAAAATGGGGAAATTATGTTGGATCCCCCGAGGAAAATGTCCCCATGTATATATGGAAGAGAAAGCACAAAACTCTAGTTACTGACTTTGTGCCCTTACTTACCAATGATGTATTTGGATTATCAAACAACTCTGCTTTACTCTTAACATATTCAAAAGTAATTAAAATAACCAATGTTATGTTTAAAAAAACTATAATGTTTTTCATTATATTTTTGCTTATTTTTTTAGGAAAAATCATTAACATTACTGAATGAAGGAGTTACTGTAATGGCTGCTGCTATACTTACTTGGAGTGAATTTGACAGTGTGGTTAGGATTAAACAGCGCAAAGAAGCTCCCTCTAAACCAGCATTCAAATTTTTTTCTACAGATAACATTAGCACTATAGTCACTGCACCACATTGCCCTTATATTTGGATTGGTTTTGAATCTGKAATCATACACGTGTACAAGTAATGTAATACTTAACTAAAATTATGTTTAATTTGCATAGAGCTTTCTAACAGTAGTGGTTCTTGGGTACCTATGTACTGGCAGGGTGGGCAGCTACCCGTACAAATATTTCTAGTGCCCCTTATTAAAAAATGAAATAATGTACCCACTATTAATATATAGTATTTGTGGAAGTATTAAACATAATATTTTACTAAAAACATATAGGGCGGAAAGTAATTTTTTTTGCAATTTAGAACCATATAATAAATGTACTGTTACCTGTAAGAAAGTTTAGTTTAGAAACGTAGTCGACAGCCAACTTATGCAAAAGGATATGGTAAGGTGATTGCTGTGGATATACACTGGTTGCTGCTAACTGTGTTCCTTAACTTTTATCCAAAACTTAAATATTATTTAATCTTTGTAATGTGTAATTTATTTCAGATTTTATTTTGACATCATTGTTGGTAACGTTGAGATATTTAAAGAGCCAACTGTTCTTGTTGGCCATCGAGCAAAAGTATCTTGTATAGCTTTGAGTCCAGCATTTAGTATTGCTGTTAGTTGTGATAATGAAGGAACTTCAATTATTTGGGATCTAAATGATATTGCATACGTGAGATCACTGGAGCCCATGAAGTCCCCAGTAATAAAATATTTAAAATTTTATTTTGTAATTTAAATCAATACTGACATTGTGTTTAGATAAATTTAGTTTCCATCAATGAAATGCTTGGGGATATTGTTACGATTGCCTATAACCATAATAGTGGAAAATCAGTTATGACACTTCAAACTATAAATGCCTCATATATTGGCAGTGTAGAAAGTGATAAAAAAATTACAGCTGTATGCTTTTCTAATGCTCCTGAAGGAATATCAGTTAACGTTATCGCAACAGGATTAGAAGATGGGAGTGTCAAGTAATTAAAGCTGGAATAAGTAAATTTCACAAATGGTTTAATAATGTGTTTATCTCTAATTAGATTATGGAGTACATGGGATTTGTCTTTTGTTAATGAAATACCAATCATCCATTTTGATGGAGCAGTCATAGCGTAAGTAAATAAATAAACCTTTTATGCCACAATTGATTAATTTGAATGTTGATGAACTTGTAGTATAATTTATTCAAGTGATTCTCAACATTTATACATATCAACAGAAGATGGAACAGTGACAATCTGGGAGTCTGCTGGTGCTAAGCGAGTTAGTAAAACTCCCAAATTTTTAAATCTTAGCACATAAAAAAACAAGATGTGTTCAGGTATTGTGGTCAGAGGCTCTTCAACATAGTATTATAATAAGACTGGTGAACCTAAAAATAAGTATAATATAATGAATATTTTACAAGCTAAGATTTTTTACTCAATTTTTCTATTTAATTTTGTTATAAATAAACAATAGAATTAAAGATTTGAATTTTTTATATTTATGTTAAACAATGTTTAAAATAATTTATTTCTTTTTACTATTGAATAATGTTTAGAAAAATTACATCATTTGTTTTTACAAAGTATTAATATAAATATATTTATATCAAGCAGTATTTTGTTCATTCTGTTGTTTCTTGGTTAAAGTCTCGTTGGTTTAGATACATATACCTACATGAGAAATCAGAAATTCATTAATAAGTGTATTTTAGTTTCTGTTAAGAATGCACATGTAGAAATTAGTGCTGCAACAATATTGAAACTGTACAAATAAAGTTTGTTAAAATGGTTTCTATTTTAATTGTATCTAAACATATATATTAAGATTGTTATTGTATGTGTTTCAAATGTTAAATTAGACAATATTTAATTATCTTAGTTTAAAATTAATTTATTTCTAAAAATGGATTTTATTATTAAGTACCTAATATATATTATATTATTCCAAGTTAAAACAGTTTTTATTAAAGATTTATATTTAATTTTAATTAAAAATGTATGTTATTAAATACTAACAGAAAAGTAATTTAATAATGTTTTAAGCATTCATATTAAAGTATTATTATTGAAAAAATTTATTTTAATAAATTAAACTTGTTTTATCTTAATATATTTTCATGTTTTTCTTATGTTTTTAAAATTTTATATTATATTCTTATATATTATTATGATGTTGGCTCTAAGCATCACATTTAGTTTTAAGTGGCTGATATAAATAAAAAAAATAAAAAAAAATATATATTTACTGTTTTTCTTTCAATAATAAATTTCCTTTTTTAAACAAGTATATGTTAAATAGACAATCAATAGCTTACATGCACATAATAAATATAACGCCTTATGGTGATTTAAGAGATCACGCGATAAGTAATTTCTATATAATAAAGAAGAACACTTAATTAAAAATGATAAATACATTTAATTTTACTAATTATTGACAACTACTAAAGTTCAACACTTAACATATCAATATAATAGGGAGAAGCACTAACTTAAAATATATTACAATAGGCACTAAAAATGATTTAGATTAATCTGATTCCGCCATCTATTCTAATAACTTCTCCATTTAAAAATGGATTATTGACAATGCTTACAACAAGATTTGCAAACTCTTCTGGTTGACCTAATCTTTTAGGAAATGGTGTCATATCAGCGAAATAGTTTTTAACTTTTTCAGGTAAATGATTTAGTAAAGGAGTATCGAATAATCCTGGAGCTATTGAACAATGCCTAATGCCTTGTGATGCCATATCTCTTGCGAGAGGTAGTGTCATAGCAGCAATAGCGCCTTTGCTGGCTGCAAAAGCGACCTGGCCTGTTTGCCCATCATAAGCAGAATATCCTGATGTATTAATTACAACTCCTCGTTGACCATTTTCGTCAGTTTCATTTTTTCCCATCAGTGCAGCACCTAATCGGATAACATTGAAACTACCTACAGTATTTACCATAAGTACATCAGTAAATTCTTCTAAGCTATGAGCACTGCTTTTGTTGAAATTAAATACTTTGCGTGCGACGCTTATACCAGCACAATTGACGATCAAATTTAATTTTCCATGGAGTTGACTACAAGTGTCAATAGCATTCTGAACATCGGTTTCAGATCGTACGTCAGTAGGAACAAAATTGGTGTTGGGACCAAATGTTTCAGCAACACTTTTCCCTTCAGATGATGGTAAATCACACATTATTACTTTGTATCCATCTTTCACAAGTCTTTCAACAGTGGCTTTTCCTAATCCAGAAGCAGCTCCTGTGACTAAACTTACAAGAGCTTTAGACATGTTGAATTTTATAGTATTCTGAAATAAAAATTATTATTTAAAATATTTATTAAGATACATTAAAATGGTTAGTATTATAATGGTATACTATATTACTATTGATACTATTGACAATGATATGCAAGTTAGTGTGGTGTGCATAGGAATGTGGAAAATTGTGAAAAGTGGAGGTGTACGATAAAGGTAGCCAATCCCAAATACTTGGACGAAGACAAAGAAGACACATTAAAATAGTTGTTTAACATTCATGTAAGTTACTTTTATTGTTATAATATTTATATAAATCTAGGTTCATATTATACCTTGTCGTAAGGAGTTGAATATAAACAAACACCAAATTAATTAATTATGGCAAATGAGTTATACAAAATATTTTTACTCTTAAGTTATGTTGTTTAAAATAATAAACACAATGGTTGTGGATTATAAAACAAGGAAGTGAATTATATAAACAATGTCTACTGGATTAGTTTTGGCTTGAACATTCAAGTCATTGTAACATTTATAATAGAAATAATTATTTAAAAAAAATATTTTAAATAATACTATTTAAAATAGAAAACTGTTCATAACTTGCATTAATATAAAATAAAAAGCTTATAAGGGATCTCATACCAATATATTACTTTTTAATTTATTGACTTCACTCTTATTAAAAGGTATTATTTTATAAAATAACAAAGTAAACACTATGTTACACATTAGCACGGTCTACACATTTTGCATGCCAATATTCCCTAAACAAAATTTCTTCAACATAATACCAACAAATGTCTTACATTAAATTGAAAAAACATTTTTCTTAATGAACAAAAATGTATAGAGGATGAGACAGTGTAAACTAAAAGAACAAAGGTATGTTAAGTAGAATACAAACTTATTGATACACCAGCTAAGAACTATAGATTCATTAACTATTGTATAAGATTTTGGGCATGTACATAAATGTTCTACTATTGAGGCAATTAACTGATTTATATTAAAAATTACTGTAAAGCACCTTAATAATTTGTAGTTTATGTAAAACTCGACACGTGATACATTGGTGATTTTGATTCAAATAATTTAATTGGTATTCACATTTAGTGTGGGAAAAATAACCGTGGCAAACAAAAAACATTTGAGCAAACGTATGGTACTATTGTTATGTGGTACTACGACTGCGGCAATTGGACAAAGTAGAATCACAAAAATACTTTTAATCATAGAAATAGAATAAAATCGGGAGTACAAACTGGAAATCATATTTTAATTATCTATTTAATTATCTATTAATGACTAATGGACAGTAATTCTTGTCATAAACGAGTACTCACTATTCACTATTTGCAATTTAGCCATCAATTTGGATACGAATATTACGAATAACAAACGCACGTGAATACGCAATTTTAAGTATTTACCATCACCATTCACCACAGTCCACAGTAAGTTCCAGACTCCACAGTGCCATTCTTATCTACGACACTACGAATTTATCATCGCCGCCGGTACAAGGAAACGATAAGAAAAGAATATAAATTCAACACCAACCGCCAGAATTGTTCTGTGGTAGAATGAAAATGTTTTTTCAGGTTGGTATTTAGGTTGGTACTATGTGTCTGTCGTCCGTCATGATCGGCTACACTGCGTGTGTTCGCGACGAATCGGTGCGAACGCTGGGAAGTCGGAAAATATTTTCCGTGTTCACGGAAAAACAAAAATTGTATTCGTTTTTGTGAACGGCCGTTCGTTGTTCGTCGTTCTCACTTCTCATTTCGTTTTCCCTTTTCCTCTTGCGACTGCTCGTCATTGTTATTATTTATTATTATTATTACTATTATTATTTTCTTTTATTATTATTAGTAATATAATATTACATTTGATTTTACAATATTACATTGAATACGAATACTTTCCATCATCATTTCTCAGTTGTCACTTTCTCCGCCGTTTATTGAATCGTTTTTGTGTTTTACACTTATACGTTTTTTGTTTTAACCGTCGTACCTATTCCTTATTTTTTCCGTTTGCGGTTTATTGCGACACCACCACCCAGGAATGCTTTTTACGCCGTTTACTCCACATTTAGTAAATATGTGATCCGTTCTCGGGACAACGGTCGTCCCCGTCTGAGTGGACCGGTGTTTACCGTTTTCGGCCTTTGTCGTCGAATCGGACACCGGCCCGACCACCGTTATCGGTTTCCATCTAGGTCCACGCGAGCCCGCATTGGTGTCCTCCTAGTGTGCTTGATCAAAGACTGGTAGACAACCGCCGTCGCGAGACGTCCAATTTGAGTCCTATCGTCAAAACTTCAATTCAGTCATCTACTGCACGTTTGTCGCGCTCAACGATAGGTACACCGTCGACTCTTATCGTCGTCGGCACGTTCTTCTCCACCCATTGAAGAAAGCTTCAAAACCTATTGAAGCTTTCGAATCGGCATTCATGGAACTATGAACCTGGATTCATTGTCATATACGTTGTCGCAAATCAGCTATCTCGTTGCTAATTTGTCGAAAAAGAATTACAAGTCTAGCGTTCAAGAATTAGGGGACGTAAGTAGTTTAATTTCAATCTTATCGTGTTTACCTATAGTTACTTATGCATCTTTTGTACATTGCTAGCTGTATTGATGCGTAGATAGTTACTGTAGAAGTAGGTAGAAGTAAAAAAAAATTATATTTGGATTTTTTTTTTTTTTTTTGATAGGTACCTTTCATTACCTAGGTAAACATTGTAGATAACTTAACTCCCATTGATAGTTAACAAAATAAAAATAATCATAGGTATTATATTATTTGTTATCCATGTTTCGCCCTTGTATTTTTCCTTTGTCAGGATTTTTACTGATATTAAATATATTTTATTAAAATTATCAACATTTATAGCACAGTCTATTAAGCTTATTAGTGTAATTTTTTAATGATAACCAATTATTTATACCAATTACTATTATATAAATGACAAGTTGACTTAATCATAGTTTATACCAATTTAATCCATTGTTTTCAAGATTGTTTTATTGGTCAATTTTCTTTAGTTATATATTGAGTATGAGTGGGGGCAGGGAATTAGGAAATTACCTTACTTTTATAAAATGTAATAAGTTGATTGTAATATCAACATTGTTGTGCAAGTTATTATAACAACTAGGCACTATTATACTAACACAAATTAAGTCTTTTAATTGTTAGTATTTGCCTGTTTATTTTATTGAGGTTTACTTGATTAGCATTTTAAAATTACTGTAGGCAATTTTGAAGAATCATAAAGCTAGACCTAAATAGAAAATGGTGTTAACTTACAATCTTTTAAAAGATAAAAACTAACTAACCTTTTTTATTCTGTCTGTCGTTTTTGCATGTTATTAAATTTTTCTGATTAAAAATTAGTAAACATAATGTGAATAAAGCTTTTAATATATTGTTTTCAATGAAAAGTGGTATATACATTAGTAATTGAATCACTTTTTTTAAACATGAATACAATGATAAATTATGTTTTCTTATACCTACCTATTAAAAAACATTTAATATATAAAATATAAATGAATGCATATAAATTAAAACATGCATGATATATGAATAACATGAGTTAGTAAGAACGTAGGATGTGTTGACATTTTTTAAGTATAATTTTTTTGCAGGTATCTTAAACAAACATTTATCATTAAGGAATTTAATTGTTCTTAGGTCACAAAATTAAATCCATACTTTTAATGTTTGCTGCATACCATATATTTTTAATAGGTATATATATATCTGTTTGTTCTTGTAAAGTATATAATTGGGCTTTAAAAAAAAACATTATTTAAGTAATATTATTCAAAGATAATAATATTGATATTTGAGTATAACACTATATGTCCTATCTGAATCCGGCGAATGCGAACAAATTCTATTCTGACCATGCTGTTCCGCCACAGTGTGGTGCGTCCGATGGAGTGAAATACAAACTGTTTTGTTTTTTGCCGGACTCACATAGGACATGGCGTAACACGTCATGCACATATTATGAAAAAATTAATTGTTATAGTTGACTAGCACAAATAAACATATAGTTAAACCACAGAATGTATGATATATTATAATATTTATAATATATTTTCAAATATTCTGTGGTTAAACTGTAACATGACCATAATATAGGCTCGGGTATAGGTTAGGTTAGATGCATTGAATAACTAGGTACCTTTATGACATCCCCACATATATGAAGTGTAATATGACAATAAAGGTGTAAGTTCTATATTATCAATTTATGTGTATACAGGG